GTCTTTTTTCGTCAACAATAATCCATGTTAATTTAGTCTTAGTCAGCGTTTTTGGACAGTGGTGCAGTCTTGTCATCGTCTCGTCTTAGTCATGAAAAAAAAGGTCGTTGACGAACATATTTCGTCTCGTCTCGTCTGACGAAATTAACACTAATTAAATGTGCATACATATTCTTGATACAGTAACATAGGTTCACTCGCTACCAGAAACCTCTCAGTTGTTGGTTGTTAATGCACCCAAAATATAAATATTAAAAGCATTTTCTCATGTAAATGTTTTTGATAGGAGTTGAAAAGAGAGAGGTAGGCTAGGTCTGCATATGTTATGCAGGCTAGCTGGATAATGGTAAACAGTGAGATCAGCCTTAAGAAAACAGGTAAACAGGTAAACAGTTGAGGCTAACTCTGTTATACTTGTGAACCTGCTCTCAGAACGGAACTGGTTCATATCTTGGGGACTTACTGTATATAAATAAAGATTTATGATCCATGGATACACTCCACTAATTATCCTTCATGGATGTGTAAAAGTGTAGCAGTCTTTAAGGTTAGTTTGTTAGTGACAATAAGAAGCGATCGATTTCTATTGGTGCCTGTGCTTTAATGCTCCTAACCTCTCCCAGCTTCAGCATTTGCCGCGTAGATGAAGCCGTCCACAGCCCGACACACCTCCTGGACCTGGGGCGTGATGTTGTAATTGGGGTCATCCTGGACGAAGAGTTTGCTCTGCACACTCTGGTGCTCAATGCGTGCTCTCTCCCTCTCAGTCCTGCGCAAAGTTATGTCTGTCATGGAAATCCACCTGTATATGATAAAACTCCCCGCCGTTCCCGCTCTGCCCGGAACCCAACATGTGCAACATGTTAAACACAATGAAATATTCAACAAAATACTCACCTGTTTGTCGAATACAGGGTCAAAATATTGAATCTGTGCTGATCGTTGAATGTGAAACTAATTCCAGACCCAATACCTGGGGTGGGGGTGGGGTGGGGGTGGGACGGGGACTGATGAGTACCAGAAAAAGGTGTAGCACTTCTGCATACATGTAATATTTGAGTTCTGCTGAATCATATGCAATTTCCAAATGGTGAAACCACAAACACAAACAGGTAGGCATGTATTGTAAAGGCTACAGCAGAAAACAAAGGATAAAAAGGCAAGAAATGTATTTATAATGAAGCAGTGAATGTTTTGGGCAGGACTTGCACACTGCTCTAGTGACCACTGCGGGAACTTTTTGCAGCAACATTGCAGCAAGATTGCAGCCCATACCTCCAATCTGCCTCTGGGGTATTCCTGCAACAGGCAGCACATCCGGGGAGAACATCAGCTTCTCCAGCAGGGAGACGTCCAGCTGCTCCAGGCCTGGACCGAACATCGCAAAACGGGGCTCAGTGGGAACAACCAGAGACTGTAAAAAGGAGGCAACAGCCTTGTACGCTGGCCTTGGGGGTTGCCACTGACGTCTGCACGCAGGGCTGCCTCTCAGGTAGCTGTGGAACGGAGAACAGGAAGGTCAGAGAGTGATGACAGTCATGTACAGTAAGTTTCACTGGAGGATCAGGAGTACTACTCACTCTGCCATAAAGTCTTGGCTAGGATCCTCCTCGTCCTTGCAGATGGGGGCCTCCAGAGCCTCCAGATGTGGCATGGAGGTATGGTCAACGGAAGACCAGAGAGGCATATCTCTGAGCAGGAAGTACTTCCACAGCAGGGGGTCTCTGACCACTGACCTCCAATAGTAATTAGTGCTGCCCAGCCGACAGAGGTCTTGGGGAGTCAGAAGAGCCATAATTCGAAACTGCACATCCACCTGTCAGAGTACCAGAGCGTAACTAGAGGTGGCACTTATGAAACGTCTCGAAACATTTGAAACAACTGTTTGGGAAGAGCGCTCTTAACAAAAACAAATACCAACAAAATCCATCGACGCCCCAGATATAAATAATAAAGCAGATGTGTCTAATGATCACTTCGAATAAAACGTCTCAAAGTTTGGCGATCTGTTTATGATACCGGAAAGCTACGTACACTGCTGGTATCTTTTTCACCTCACCGGTAAACTGTTCAAGGAGCAGCCAGTCGCTGTGTTTTCATCCACATTTCCGGGGTGCTGGACGTTACGCGTATCATTCCACAGACTCATTAAGTATTTGTCTCTGAAACGCTTCAATCTCCTTATGACCGCAGACTCTGGAGTCCTTTCGATGCCTGCCATTTCAATATCTGACAGTGAGCTAGCGAGGGGGGAGTTTTTTTTAAATCAGCTTTAAAGACTCGGTGCTAGCTAACTAACGAGCCACATACAACTAATTGCCAGCAAAGCTGTCATTCGCTGTAACAACGTTCAGAATTTGTATACGCCTTCCAAGAAAGACAGCGTAAGCTGTCGGTGCAACAACTTCCACGTCCTTATCAGCTGTCCATGTTTGATACACATCCGGGATGTAATGGTGCATTCTGGTCTATGTAGTTTTTATGACAGAAAGTCGAACTTGAAATCGGTTCCTGCGTTCGACTTCCCCTCCCAAACTCGAACGTCTCCCGTTTGAGCGACACATCTGGGAACAAACATGGCTGCCTCCATGAAAACGCTGTTTTGTGTTGTTGCTATATACTTTAGCAGATTTCGAGTGAGATTCTTTTTTCTGAGAGACAAACAAACAAGAAACACGAACTAGTCAAACCACATTAAAACCTTTATGAAATATTTTAACAGAATTAGAATTTAGAATTTGGTGATCAAATCGACCACATGCATGTACATTTATAACCATTAATACATTTAACAAAATTAACATTTAAAAATACTTATAAAATAGAATTACTGTTGACTGTGTAAGCCGCCGTTTTGAAATGACATCACTGGGGAAACTCGACCAGATAATTTGCATATATCCCAACATGCCACGCTGCTGTACTGTAATAGTCCTTTTTACAAGCCAAATTTTGCTGACCAGGGGCTAGGTTGGTCCCTTCGTATGGATGGGCGATATGGCAAAATATTTTTCTTCAAATCACTCGATGTTATTACGGTATAATTCAGGCCGTTATTTCTTTACGTCAATACTCACTTTTTGCTTAAAACGCAATTTGTCTAATATTTCTTATACTGAAAATGGACACAGGTCCTAATTACTGTTTTTTGTGACTGCAATCACTCACATTCTGTATGTTCTAATGGAATTATCTGAATCTTATATATGGTACTTATATAATCTAGCTGCTAGATTATATAAGTAC